AGAGAAAAAGAGAAGAGAATGAGAGAAGTCAATAGACTTGTGTGTATTATAAAGAGAACCAAACCCCTATATTTATAGTGAAGTAATAGGGATACATATGGTAATTATATCTAGGGCTACAAGGGTACAAGTGTCATTCACACTAAACCCTAATTTACTTTCCTTTTACAACAAAATTGGTCTTTTGACCTAAAAAATATATTATGTCTATGTTTGGTCATTTTCAAAATTTCATTTTTTCAAAACTCATTTCCAATAACACATTCTCCCATAAAATAATCTTACGCGCAAAATCAAAAATTTTTCTTATTTTTAAACCACACATTCTTCAACAAAACATTATTGAAAAATGCATTTTTGCCTTAAAATGGGACTTAAATAGGGGCATAATATTTTATTTTGACCTTTAAAAGTAAACTATTTTGTAAAAGGTGCTCCTAGCTCAAGAATCGAAGATTTTCTGAAATGAATGGCGAGCCACTAAACCATGATGTAACGCCTTGAAAAATTTTTGCTTTATTTATTTAAATTTTAAAATTGAATATTTGAGAAGAAAGTATATTTTGAGGTTAACCCACTCTATGTTTCGAAAATTATGATATTTATGGGTTTATTTTAATTTAAAAATAAGGAGAATTCGGGTAAAAATAAATTATTGGGGACTGAATCGAATGAAATTAGAAAGATATATTCATAGGACTTGATTGGATGAAATTTGAAAAGTTTAGGTTGAGGACAAAAAATTCGAAAAATATAAATTTAGAGACCCAACGAACATGTTGGACAACAGTCAAAGGGTATCAACGGCCTAAATTGTGAGTATCAGAATCTACATATGGATGTAAATTTAATCTATAAATACCCCTTGAGAGAGGCCATATAAACACATACACATCCCTCCTCTTTCTCACATCTCTAATCCCTCTCTTTCCTTACTATACATACAATTCTGCACTCGTATATAGATATATATAAGTACATGTATAAGTTGAAAAAAAATATCAGCAATTTTTTATGTAGTTTGAAAAATTAGAGGGTTAGGATTACGATAGGGAAGCTCTTTAATCTAATTAACAGTTTTACCATGTTAGATCATCAAAAAAGACCTCAAAAAGACAATAGCAAAAGCACTAGGGTCAATTGTACTATCGATAATCAAACTTTACCCCAATTGTAGTTAGGTCACCTAACTTTAATTTGGCAACAATTGAATAATATTACTTTATAATGTGTTGTGTCTTTTCCTACATTTTTTTATATCAACATTTAGTTAATATGTGAAAAGGATTAATTAAAAATGGACAATGACTTGTGAATATCCCAACAAAGAAAAGCTTTTGAATGCTAAAATCAAAACTTCAAGACATGGGCCAATAAATACTAAAGAATCGCAACATGACAACAACTACAAAAGAAATATGGAGAGTGATTACAATGGTTAATTATAATTGTTATTTAATAGTTGTGTTGGCTCCATTTCATTTACTGCATTTTTCCTAGAGATTTGCTGCATGTACAGTCCTACAATTTACAGCCCACATAGTGGGGCCCACACTAATCAGTGTGGGCTGTTAATTGTAAAGGATTGTACAAGGGGTTTTTTCCTTTTCCCTATTAGCAAATTGTTAATTGTTGCTACTATAGTAGTTGTGGTATTTGGGTTTCCATAATTAATTTTTTAAAAACATCCATGAATTATTGTCCGTTTTCAATTAATTATTTCTAGATACCTAGATAAAAAAAATGGCAATATGATGTAAAACATGTAGTAAAAGACACAGCACGGTATAAAATATTTCCAAATACAATGCTTTAATTGATATTGTTGACCTCAGATTATGGCTCTAACACGTAGTCAACCTAATGTCTTCAAGTCAGCTCTTCCCTGCACACGTAGCACGCCGTTAGTCACCCGTGGCATTTTTCGGAGGGGTTGGGAGCTGCCGCGAGCACTCCGACAGTCAAGTCAATTTATGGTTCAACCGAAAAAGATTCGCGACGGTAGAACACTCGCCAGGAAGTGATCGATAAAATGTGTAGTGATAAAAAGGCCAATATTTAATAGAGAGGATAATACTCGAGTTTTTAATATAGTAGGAGAGACTCTTGATTCCAATCCCTCTTCTGGCATAAGGAGTGGATATTTATACTAAGGATGGGAAGGGGAGAACCGTTGGATGAGAAGACACGTGTTACCAGATCTTCACGGCTCATCCCATCATAGGTGTCAATACGTTCCTCCATAGGTTGGCGACATTGAATGTCGCTAACAAAGGCAGTTGATTTGACCTTTTAAGTCCACCACACATCCCATCAGTCAGGGATTTGACTTTGGAAAAATTTTTATACAAGAGATCTTTGATGGGCGAGGCGAGGTAGGAGAGGCGTTGCAGCGTTGTAGAAGGGAAGTGCAGGTCTTTGCATCCACGGTGTAATTGCGGATTAGTCTGGTTCCTTCGCTGATGTGCGTCTAGTTCCTTCCTCATGTAATCAGTTGATATACAAGCACCTCGGTAGACACGTGGCATGCTGTGGACGACCTCTACGACACGTGGCGGAGAGGTGGTGGGTTTGATATAGGCCCGTAACAATAGTCCCACAAGTCCATGTATGGATATTTATATAGTAAAAAGACTTTCAGTTCTACGGTTTGAGTTGGGATGGATGTTGGCGTGAGGGGAAGTGATAGGAGTTGACAACTTTATGGAGAGTTGGTACGAGGGGAAGCGAAGTTGTTGTGGCCAAAGCGATAGGAGTTAGCAACTCTAGGGGGAGTTGTTGCAACACTAGATCCTACTCTAGCCGAAGTGATATGGTTTGGCAACTCTGTGGAGAGTTGTCGCAATGCGAAGCTATTTTAGCCGAAGCGATAGGAATTGGCAACTCTAGAGAGAGTTGTTGCAACATTAGATCCTGCTCGGCTGAAGTGATATGTTGGTAACTCCATGGAGAGTTGTTGTAACGCGAAGTTGTTGTGGCCAAAGCGATAGGAGTTGCAACACTAGATCCTGCTCTAGTCGAAGTGATATGGGTTAGCAACTCTATGGAGAGTTGTCACAATGCGAAGCTATTGTGGCCGAAACTATAGGAGTTGGCAACTCTAGAAGGGGTTGTTACAACATTAGATCATGCTCTGGCCGAAGTAATATGGGTTGGCAACTCTATGGAGAGCTGTTGTAACGTAAAGTTCTTTTGGCCGAAGCGATAAGAGTCAGCAAATCTAGAGGGGGTTGTTGCAACATTAGATCATGCTCCGGTTGAAGTGATATGAGTTAGTAACTTTGTGGAGAGTTGTCACAACGCGAAGCTGTTGTAGCCAAAGCGA